TCTTTGATTAATAGGCGGCAGAGGTGAATGGGGAGCTCCCGCGTCTAGGAGGTTGAGGGGTTGGGGTCAGAGGGTGGTTGTTGGAGGGACAGAAGGTCCCGATTTCTGAGCAGGGTTTGGAGGGTGAATGGGTGCCTGGCAATGGTCAAGTTGCTGAACACTAAACCTAAGGGCTCTTGAGGGGTCAAAGGGCACCCACAGGGTCACTCCCCCCACTGTAGTTGGATGAATACTCGCATGGGTGGATAGGCTTTGTGTGTTCTGAGGGCCATTGAAGAGTCTTTTCTTCACTATCCGTGCTCACTTGGAGTTTAATGAGGGAAACAAGGAGAGCCTCACCTGGGGCTTGGGAGTCTGTCCAGGTAGAAAGCACAGAGCACCAGTGACAGGAACTCGGATGACGAGTTCTGGTCCCTTCATGCACACAGTGTTTGCCTCCTTTGCCGAGTTCAGGGTTTTAGATAGCTTGTTTATTTTGTTTGGTTTCTTGTAAGCCCAGAGCTAACCACATGCAGCACTTGTCACCAAAACTCTGCCGGGGCCTGGCTGTATTTGGGGAGCTGAGGCAGCCTGTTCAAAGCCCTGGTTGTTCCCACCTTTACTCACCAGCCCCATGCTGGAAAAGCCTCTCTGAAGGAAGCCAGTGCAAGGGCTTGCCTGGTGGAGTCAGGGGTCCGGGAGGGGCAGGGGACCCAGAGACAGCCTGATTTTGCATTGGGTGACTGATTTCCTCTCGGTCCCGAAGCATCTGTGTTTAGAGGAGATTGACACAGTCTGATCGATCTCACAGGTTGCCTCTTGCTCCATTGACACGGCAGTTACCGCCCCCAGCCACTCTGGTCTACAGGCATGAGAATGGTGGAGGAATTGGGGTGCCACAAGGTTTGGAAACACCACTCTACCAAGGTGTGCGAGAAATACGTGTTCACTGACATGGGGAACAAATAACAGAGGCCAGCTGTTCATTATGCGTGCTGTGTGGCCGCACTGAGTGAATGTGACCGGTGGGCAGGGGTGCACATCTGGGCGCTAAGAAGCAGGGGTGGCTGCTCTAGGATGGTGACAGGGCTTTGGTGTAGCCATTGGTTGGTTTCTTCCTTGCTCTGGGGCCAGCAAGACAAGGTGCTTAAAATGGCCACATGGGTGAGTTCCTGGTAGTGAGCAGGATGTGTGGGGAGCTGTGGTACCCTAGCTTTGAAATGCTATAGAGAATCGGAGTATCTTACGGATATTTGGTTTCTCTGGTGGCACAGCCATGCGTAGCTTTGTGATGTTCTGAAGGCGTTACTGGTAGTAGGCTCTTCACTGAGTCATCCCTGACCGTCATGACCATGACCTTGAACATGAGCTAGCTGTCACAGATCTTTTGACCCAGGTCCTTTTACAGATCCACCACAGTGAAGCCGATGAACGGGTTTTACATTACAGGTGGCTGTCTTAAAATTCGGACTTTTGTCTATGAGGAAAGGGATGTAGAAATGTTGCCTTCCCTTTCAGCCCCCATGATGCGTTTTTGGGACCTTGCCTGCGCCCCCCCCCCCCCCCGCCCAGTGAAGTTCCTTTCCTCCCAGTGTCTAGAGTGAGCCCAATGTTGAAGATTTAAAGAAACGAGAGCTGTTCAGGGAGGCAGAGGGAATGGATGTGAGTAATCTTCCTTCACTCTGCCAGTCTGCTTTAAATGTTCTCATCCCGATTCTAGAGGACCTGTTTATCTCCAGGTGTTTTGTATGTTTTGTTATTTTTTTTTTTATTGTGAGATCCTCCACGGCAGTCTTATCACTGGTACAGAAAAGTGATTTCCCCCACCCTCCATGTGCTATTCAAATATATTTGTTAAATACCACATTTTTTAAGAAGGATGTGTGGCTTGGGTAGGGAGGGCCCAGATCATCCATGCTCAATGTCTAAGGTGGTAATTTCTTTCCCGTGTAACCAAGGGCGTGTTCTGAGGCTGCACTTGTCCCTCTGTGAGTTGAATTGGGAGATATTAGCCGAGTGGTTAACCAAACCATGTATATTATCTAGATTGCATTTGTCAAGTTCCTTTGTGTTTATTGTGTATCTGCCTTTGTGTAGGGCACTGTGCACACACAATCATATTCAATCTTCATAACCCTGCAGGACAGGCACACAGGCACGGTACGTCCCTGGAGGCAGAAATGAAGGATACTGAGGGGGTGGAAGGAGAAAAGAGTAGGGAGGGGAGACACTACTCGGCCAGGCTGGTGAAGCAGAATCCCCATCTCAGCCCTCCTGAAATTCACGGCTCTCATTCTCAGTGTCTGAGAAGCTGGCCTAAAATCCATCTTAAAGAGACTGCTGTGGCTGAGATGGTGCCTGCAAGAGCTTTGGACCGTGAGTGCGAACCATCTAGCACTCATCTCTGATTCTGAGTGGTTAGCATTGACGGAGCCCAGCCCTTCCAGAAACCAGGTCCTCTGGTTGATTGGCTCTGTCGTGTTCTACCACATATGCTTCAGTTTGGTGGCTTTCATGTGGCCTTTGAGATGGTACTTACTTCCTAGAACGGGCTGGACATCGCCAGGATTCAAAGTTCCAACACTGCCTTGTCTCTCAGGATAAGTGTTGTGTGGGCTAAGAGAGGTGGGTGCTCCACTCCAGTGATGGAAAGAAGGTAACGTGGAGAGAAAGGACCTTGGTCCAAGGCTAGAGAGACACAGGTGTCTACAGGAAGCAAGCCCTTTGTTGTAAGGGATCCAGGTACTGGCAGGCTGTGTGAAGGCAGACCCTGGTTTCTGCATATTTGATCACGGTGTTCTTCCTCTCCTGACAGCAGATCAGCCTGGATAGACAGTGGACCATGCAGTGTCTGGGGACCTGCTCGTTATGTCGTCAAGGTTGTAGCCTAGTAGACTCCCATGTCACTGCTAAAGTCAGGTAGCTCCTCAAGTTTCCATTTGTCTCCCTCTCTCTCTCCCCCCCCCCCCCCCCGCTCCGTAGCACTACTGGGGAGTAATCTGGGCTAGGCTCTCGAATGACGCAGGAGCATTGGCTGAGCTTGGGCTTTGTTAAAATTACCTTGAGGACCAAGTTCTTCACCCATCTTACTGTTACCAAATATTGTTGTCATCCCTCCCTGTGCCCCATGCTCCCTAGTAATCCTGCTTAGAAGAGAGTTTGGGATTGGTGACAGGACCACCGTGTCCCCTGTCAACTCTTGCTAATCAGGACAGTGACAGTGAACCCCACAGTTGATAAACACACCACGTGTTTGGTCTGTGCCCGCCTTCCCTATGTGCTGTCAAGTTGAAAATGTCCTTCCTTCCAAGTATTTCCCACTCCATCCCTGTCTGTCTCTTTCTTTTCCTCACCCTCCTTACTTTCTCCTGCGAAGGGAACTAATCCCTTACTCCTCCTCAGTCATACTTGACAGAAGGCTTTCCTGGGAGTCTCCTCGTGAAGGGCCCTTAGTGCGCTTCCAGGAGGAATGGCCTCAGGCTTGGGCACAGCAACTCTTTGCTTCCAGACACCCCGCCTGGCCACCACCCTGCTTGCTGATTCTGAGGCCACTCTTTTCAAACCTTAATCATTTTCATCTACAGAATGGTAGCCAGGTCCCCTGAGCAACTGGCTAGCTGTTTTTCTCTGGAAGAGTTATGGTTTCATAGGAAGCTGTAAACCAAATGACTGGAGATGCTCTTTGGGGTCTTCTAGAAAGACTGTTTTTCTTTGCTAACGTGCCGTGGGAAAGTTATGCCTTTTGACGATGCCTTCGCCACCCTCAGCTGTGGTAGGAAGCTGTTCTTCCTGTGTTCTATGCCTTCCTCATCTATTTAAAAAGCCAAACAGGGAGGCAGGAGGAAACACGGGAAGAGAGCTAGCTGCTCAGTGGTCCCTGAACTCGAGGCGCTGGTGGGCAGTGCTGGAACCTGCCTTCTTTGCTTTTAATGCAATTCCTTTTCCTTGATGTTAATGCAACTTGTGCCCTTCCTAGAAGTAATAAAAGGAAATGAAGACACATTCTGAAATGAAACTTGACTCTAATCCATTCATCATCTAATACTAGCCTCTTTATCTTCTCTGGTACCTAATCTGGTTAAATGTCCCTGTTGTAGGATTTTAGTGAAAATCCCCTATTGGGAATAGGGTTTTTTGCAATTGGATTACTCTCAGTAAATGGCCCAGTAGTTCGCTTGTTTCAGCTTAATTTTTTTTTTCCTTTGTGATCTTGCTGGGCTGAGTTATAGCACAGCATAGAGGGGGAGGGGCCAGAGCCAGGGGTGGAGAGAGGTGAGTGCTGGGGAAGGCTGGGAAGAGGGCGGTGAGATAGGTCTGAGATGCTCTTATTTTCCTCGTTTTCTGCCTCTCCTCACCATCTACCTTGCCCCAGCACACAAACACTTGTACTTTATTGGTTGGAACTGCCCATTTCTCAAATTCATACTGTTTATTAGCCCAATTCATCATCATCCAGTTAATTTATTAGCGGTCCCCGATGGCTTCCTAATGAATCAGGGCTGCGGTGATCTGCATAAAATATGCAGGTGCTGGCTGGGCCAGAGCGGCTGGAAAAGTTCAGTCTGCCATCCAGGCTGAGGGAAAGGGTGGGAGCCTACTGTGTAAGAGCCTGTGGAGTTAGGGGGTGGATCAGGAGGCTGGCTGCGCTGCTGGCTCTCCAGGTTTCTTGTAAATGAAGATTTCTTTTTGCCTGCCTCACCTGTGAAGCCAGTCTGCCTCCTAGAGGTGCTTGGGGTAGGCGATTCCACCCCACTGTGTGCATAACCCTCCTGAGCCTAAGAGAGTAAAGCTTCAACTTCTGACTCCCCTGCTCATGGGAAAGGTGCAGAACCTTTGGTTCCAGTGGTAGTGTAGAGGAACCTGAAGCAAGCCAGTGTGGGGAGCTCACTGTCTCCCATCTTTAAATGGATTAGGGAGGTGGGATGGGCATAGCAGCTGGGAGGGTGTGGGGGGGCACACGCCCTTGCTCTGAAGTTGTAACGTAGCTCACCATGCTGTCCTCTGTTCTCCCTCCCCCACAGTCGAACAAAGTTCCGGTGGTGCAGCACCCCCACCATGTCCACCCACTCACGCCTCTCATCACCTACAGCAACGAACACTTCACCCCGGGAAATCCACCTCCACACTTACCTGCTGATGTAGACCCCAAGACAGGTAAGTTGGGGAACTCTCAATGAAGGTCAGGAGCCTGGAGTGGGACGATGGAAGGAGAGGGGGTGGTGGGGGAATCTCAAAGTCTCGCCTGGGAGCCGAAAAGGATGCTCTTGGGGTGGGGGTGGGGGTCCAGCTCAGTTTGTGTGCTGGGGGCGGGGCCAGTTTTTCCCTCTTGTTTCTAGAGATCCACTTACAGGGATAAGATTTATAACAAGGTTTTTGGAGAGGGTTGCTTGGGAAATCCATTTCTGGGCACCCCTCCCCCCGCCAAAGAAACTAAGTAGTAATGGATTGGAGGTGTCTCCTGGGCACTTTGAGCTTCCTGAAAACAACATCATGGTTTTGAAGGGACCCAGTCACTTAAGAGTGACTTGTTGGTGCATCCTTAAGGGGCCACATCACCCAGGGTCTCATATTTCTTGCAGATTTCTTTGCATCTTTCTTCCATTTCAGTATCTTGGATGTTTCTGTTGTTGTTGTTGAACCCATTTTACAGATGAAGAAACTGAAGCCTAGGAAGGTTTCTTGTGTCATACAGCATTTTCTTGAGCGAAGGCTACCACACTGTCCTCAACTTCTTGACCTATCCCTTCTTTCTGTTTCCCCCAAAGGGCAAATGGTGAGAGGCAGGACTGTTTTTAGCGCCCCCTACAGCAAGATGCTGTGTGGCAGGCAGCCACTGCTCACAGGCGGGTCCCTCTGAGCCCTCTGTGTGGATGCAGCCTGGCAGTTTGATTGGCTGGAGGAGGCGACCAGCCTGCCCCAGGCTCCACAAAGTACAGGGCTCCACTTGCAGCCGGCAGCATCTCATTTGAATAATGGTAGGCCAGGGAATAGCTTTTAAATGGTTATCGTAAACCATATGATTAACGTCTAAGGACTGTTTATTTTTCCTCTGTGAACATTCTTTCAAGTGTACAAACGGCTCGGTGTAGGGTCCAAGCCCAGCTAATCTGTTTGCTTTTTGTAATAGAGAGAAAGCAATGTCTGCATTAAAATATCACCCAGGGAGACTTAATTTACAGATTAAAAGCTTCCTGAATGAATTTCCTGAAAAATGAGATAGTTTTTAATGCACGGACGTTGCTGTCCTGTCCCTTCGATTCTGGGTTAATTCTGGCACATTCTGCACATGTCGCCTCCCACTTGGACTGGGCAGCTAGGCAGAGCCATTCCTCTCAAGCCAAATTGCTCTCAGGACTCCACTTCCTGAGGATGGATGGCCAGATGTGCAGCCTGTGCCGTGAGGAAGGGAGCCGTGGTGCAGACTTTCTACATCCACTTCTGTGGGCCTCGGCAAGGCTCATGGCCCCTCTGACCCATCAAGTACCCTGGTGCCCACAGATGAATCCGCCGTCCAGGGAATCAGGCCAGAGTTGAGCACCCGAGGCCTGCCTTCTCGCTGTCTATTCAGGTTTGACTCCTGGGGCAAAGACACCAGCTGGCATTTGGTGGTTTCTCTTCATGGAGGAATTGGCCAGCTATGGGAGCTGAGTCTTTTGAGAGAAATCAGAGTCACCTCTCTGAACACTAACTTAGAATGAACTGCCTATAATCACAGCGCTTGGCAAGAGGCCGTGCGTTCAAAGTCAGCGTGGGCTGTGTAGTTAGCTCTGACTCAAAACGCTAAAATAAATTCATTAATTAAGTCTTATAAATCTAAAGTATAACTCTCACATAGGCAAGGCGTTCAAAATAAAGGGTAATGGACCAAGTAACAAAGCAAAAGGCATTCATGATCATGACTCGCTCACCTGCAGTGTGCCAAGCTTTTTAATTTTTTTTTTTAAAAACTTGAAGTAATGACACAGAGCAAAAATAGCCAAGATGGCGTCTTCCTGGTCTCATTCACTCAGCCACACCAGTCCACCCAGGAGCTAACTCACTGTGCAAACTGGCGCCGTAGGAAAAGAAGAAAGCTGGGAACAGCCCTCCCCCAGAGTCAGCCATGGCCTCCAGCTGCGATTTGAGGAGAGAGCCCCTTTCCTTATTCCTTCCCTGCTCCCCTCCCTCCACAGTCCCTCTTGCTCTTCCTGCGTACCTAAAACCCACTCCTTTTTCTCTCAGGAATCCCACGGCCTCCGCACCCTCCAGATATCTCTCCATATTACCCGCTGTCGCCCGGCACCGTAGGACAAATCCCCCATCCGCTAGGATGGTTAGTACCACAGTAAGCAGCTCCAGTTTTTATTTCTGTTTTTGTTTCTTGCATGAGCATGCTTATTATTATTATTATTATTGTGTGTCTGTCTGTCTGTCTTTGTGTGTGTCTGGTATGTCTGTGTGTCTGAGCACGGGTGAGTCTATGTTGGCAAAGAGACAGCTGATGGGACAACACAGGGGAGATGCTGTCGAGGTGTCCTGTGGATTTGCAGAAATCACAGCATTTCAATGATCTGTGTTGAAAAGGGTCAGTGGTCATTGACACTCTGAACCCATGGGACCCAAAGATGTCCTGCAGAAAGCTAGTGAAACGCATTTTGGCTCTCCCCGCAGTGGCAACCCAAACTGGACTCGTGTTGTTGGGTTGAGCTCTCTCTGTTTTAGGTGTTGCTTCTGTGGCAGCAAGGGATGGAAATAGGAGCAACTTAATGGCGAAATCTCAGGGTGAGATCTAGGTGAACTCTTGGAGAGGGAGTGGAGGTCTTTTCCCCTTCATCCCATGCATTCCAGCTACCATTTAACCCTTCACGCTGAAGGCAGATAGCAACAGTGCTGGGAAGGTCAGGTCATCTCTCCAGCGTCTCTGAGATTCCTGGCATGGCTAGTGCCAGCCTACTATGCGGTTACAGAGTGACAAGTAGAGCCCCCCCTGTTGGCATTCAGGGCCTGGGATGTTGACTCTAGTCTTGGCAGTGCCCAAATAATGTGACTGCCCCTTACAACTCAGAAGAATGATGTGTTTAGACACCAGAGCAGAAAGGCCTTTTGTGACTAAGCGTACTTTGTGCCATGTAGCACATGCGCGGACGTGCACGTAATGTTTGAGATTGTATATTTTTATGCAACTCTTTCTCCATTTTATCAGTGACCTCTAGCTTTAGAAAGCACAGGGAAAAATCCTGGTGAAACTGTCCAATCTGGGTCTTATGGAAGACAGACTTTTATGGTCCTCAAGGCAATACAATTTTGGGATAGTGCCCCTGTTCTAGCTTTTGTTTCTCCTCCAATTGAGCAGAGCCTTCGCTGTTTGCCCATCTAGAAACAACAGGTTGTGTTGGACAATAGCTACGCTAAGTACCAATTGTGGGTGCGGTTTCTTTGTCTTATTTTTGTTTGGTGAGGTAGATATGAGGGTTTGACCTGCTTCTTCTGCGGCTTCTCCACTGTATGAGGCTGAGCCTCAGTCGTCCAGTCATCAGATGGGGAGATGCCGAAGGCTAGATAAAAAGGAATAGCCAACTCAGACAGCCCTCTGTCAGGAGAAGTTGTGTGTCTTTCATGAGGATGCTATTCTGCATGTTGCTGTATTTTTTAATTATTGTAATGAGGTGTGATTGTCTATTGGTTACCCACAATTCTTCTTGGGGACTCTCCCCCCCCGGTAACTCTTGTCAACACTTGTTAATTTGACAAAAGGCTACAAATTAAGCTCTGTTAATTTAATGTTTTCTCACCGAGATCTAAATACCGAAAGAGGCCCAAAGCGCAACTGAAGTCCTTTGATTCGCTGTACTTTATTTTGGTATAAATTTACATTCATTATTGTTTTCCTTTGGATGTGTAGCCCTCAATTAGTGTGATGGCTCCATTAAAGCAAGCGAGACTTCGCCTTTAATTATTACAACAAAACACCTAGTCTCAGCGTGGGGAGAGGGTCTCTATTGACATAAGCAGAGGTTATAAAATTTAATTAGCCATTCCTATCAGATTTATGGCATTCAAATTGTTCTGTGTTTCTTCCCTTTGATCCTGCCTGTACAATCCCCAAGATTTTTGTTCTGATCAAATGAGAATAAAGCTTACTGTACAGAGAGAACGTCCCCTCTTCTTCATTTCCTCGTTCCCACCCCCGGCCTTATTTCTAGTCTCTCACTTTTTGTACCCCCTTCTTTGTAGGCAAGGTCAGCCTGTGTACCCAATCACGACAGGAGGGTTCAGACACCCCTACCCCACAGCGCTGACAGTCAACGCTTCTATGTCTAGGTGAGTTGCAGTGACCGCTCAGAAAGCCCCTCTAGACAGCCGCCAGGCCACCAGGGCCCATGAACATGTGTGGGTATATTAATATAAGCCAATATTCACTTGACTTCCCTCTACAAAATCCCAGAAAGTTGCCTTGACCTTTCAAGGTAAGTGATTGCCTGTCTAAGACATTAGTAGTCTATCCGGATGTAGAGCAACATAGTGTCACAGATTAAGAAGGCAGTTGTGGGGCTGGGAGAAGCTCAGCAGTTAAGAGCACTTGCAGCTCACGAAGAAGGCCTGGCTTCAGTTCCCAGCACCCACGTGGCAGTTCACAACCATCTATAGCTCCAGTTCCGGGAATCCAGGACCCTCTTCTGGCCTCCCCTAGCAGCAGGCAGGCTCGTGGTGCTCATTCATGCAGGTGCAGACACTCATACACATAAAAATAAATAAGTCTTAAAAACCACAGCAAAGTGTGCAGGGAAGGGATGTCTAGAGTGGGCAGGGCTTCAGGGAGAAGTGGCTAGAGTGGGTGGTGCTTCTGGGGGAAAGTAGCCAGAGTGGGTGGAGCTTCAGGGGAAAGTGGCCAGAGTGGGTGGGGCTTCAGGGGAAAGTGGCTAGAGTGGGCAGAGCTTCATGGGGAAAGCGGCTAGAATGGGCAGGGCTTCAGAGGGAATGTGGCTAGAGTGGGCGGAGCTTCAGGGGAAACTGCTAGAGTGGGCGGAGCTTCAGAGGGAAAGTGGCTAGAGTGGGCAGGGCTTAAGGGGAAAGTAGCTAGAGTGGGCGGGGCTTAAGGGGAAAATGTCTAGAGTGGGTGGTGCTTCAGGGGAAGTGGCTAGAGTGGGTGGTGCTTCAGGGGAAGTGGCTAGAGAGGGCGGTGCTTTTGAAGTCACTGTTTCTCTGTTATCCTCTGCTGGGTAAGAAATAAGGAAGTGAGGAGAAGATAACTTAATGGTTATTATACAGACATTTGAGAAAAAAAAATAGATGGGTCTTTAGAAAGCTCAGATTTCAGTTCAGAGTCTGTAATAAGCTGTATCCTGGCCTCTTAGGGCAGCAGTGTCCAGTAGAAATGTTTACATTCCCCCCAACCTTTCCTGTCTATCACTTTAAGAAGATTGCCCCCTGCCCACTACGACCCCCATGGTGAAACTGTTTTTTACCACACGTTATATTTATCAGTCATACTGTGTGACTGTAGTATTCTCTTTTCTACACCCTGCGGCCATGCCACAGCTGCCATTCTGATTTTCTGTTTTTCTTAACTTAGCTTTTACATGTGCCATGCATTTACACTTTATAGCACATATCAAGTTGGACTGAGCACATTTGAGGGACTTAAGGACACATGCCTGATGGCCATGGTATTGTCCTCCCCAATGCTGCTAAATCTTTGAAAGTTGTAAAGAAATTATGCGTGCATCCATTCCTCTAGACTCATATTTAAAGCATATATACTGCATATACATGTATTGCCAGGACTCATTTTCCTCTGTCTAATTAATTCCAGCTAATTTTTCAGTGACTGCTAGTTTATTTACAAACTGGTTGGCAGCAGTATGTTTAAGTAGTCACTAATTGCCCCTAATGATAGTTTTATTTTCTGTTCATCTGATTTTCGGTTGAGTTAATTAAATCGGTGGAGGTTTAGACTTTCCTGATGGGCTGAAGCAACCAATCCGTTTTGATGATGCCACGTGATTCAATTAGCATGCAGTACATGGCAAGGCTGCTGTCCCCCTGCCTCTGCCTCCATGCTCTGTGGCCAACGGCGGGAGCCAAAATGAGAGAAGGGACTGAAGGTTGCCTGGAACGCCTTCTTCTCCTGCTTGCAGAACAGCAACTATTGTTTTGGATAGAGTGAGACTCACACCCCCGAGAGAGGCAGGCTAGACTTTAGACTTTAGAGTTATCCACAAATATCACGCAGCTCGGAAGATCTGTGCCCTACACGTGATATATCATCTCAATCTCAGAAACCATGCCCTTATAAGCTAGGCAGGAAGATGATTTTCTATATCCTCTCTGCTGGAGAAAGTAGAAAGGTTATACTCATTAAATGATGTCGTCACCAGCCCCTGTAAAGCGTGGGAACGAATGGGAACCCTCCTGGGAGGAGGGGGGGGGCTGCTTGTGATCCTGACTCGGTCTCAGAGTTCGCATGCTGCTCCCAACTCTTCCTCCTGCTTGTTTGTTCAGTGCATCCAGAGGCGGAAGGCAACAAAGTAACCGTAGCATCGGGAGTGGGGGTTAAGCTTATTGATTGAATTATCGTTAGGAGGCCAGCTGATGATTTATAGGTCGCAGAGTGTGGAGGAAAGGAAGGGGGTAGTGGGAAGAAAGGTTAGGGGCTGGTGGTACATGGTGGGGGGGAGGTGGCCAATTCCCCAGGTAGGCCAAATGAAAGGTAGCTAGTTAAAAAAGCGTATACAGCAAATTAAATGCATTATTGTGGTAATGGGGCGACAGAAGTATAGGTCTATTATATGTATGGCAGTTATAGCGAATGTAGGCAGCTTGCCCTGTTCCAGAACACCCTTTGATATTTATTCTATTCAGCAGCGGGGCCAGGACTTCTCGGAATTAAGTGATGGGTCATTATACTTTAAACACCATGGAGAAGCCTAGATTGGCAATTAAACAGCTCTTGCTGACACTCACTTGTGCCACCCTGTGACCCCCTTTAGATTGAGATGTTGGAGCTCCGGGCCCTCAGCCTGCTAAATTGGGCAAGGCTCTTCTCATGACGAGAGCGGGCCCTGAAATCTGCCGGCTTCAAAGGGAGCGAGATCATGTATAAACCATAATGTGGGTGCACCGTGGCTCACAAAAAATAAGGCAGGAAGAGATGAAATGTTACAAGTGCAAGGGGGAAAATGAGAGAATAATGACGATCCTAATGCAACTCAAAGCGGGATTGTTGCACGGGAAAATGCATCCTACTGCTTGTGCATAAAATCAAGGCCGGCAGATGACATGCGGCTAACAGAAATGTGTCGGCACTGAAGCAAAGCAGGAGTGAGTACGAGAGAGGCCCCTGAGACAGCCAGAAACAAAAATTAGTTGTCCTTAACAAGTTAAGGTTCATCATTATATTCTGGCTTGGAGCCATGAAAGCAGACGGGGGTATATAATGAGCTGCTGAGAATTTTTTGAGGGTGTTTATTGCATTTCAGGAAGCGGTTGTCTGCAGGAAAGGGTGAAGGTGTGTGTATCTCGTGGGCCACACACTTACTCACGCGCAGTCTTTCTGCTGGTGTGCAGTTTTCACAGGAACCAGCGTGTGTAGAGGTCAGGGAACTCGCAAGCACCACCCAGGTCCCCCAGGCCTAGAATGTGCTCCTCTTGACGCCTTTGCCTGGTATTTGTATGTGTGCCTGCACACAGGCGAGGCCACAGTCCCGCACCGTCTTTCTGTCTCTCTCCCTCGTATGTACACGTAGTCACATGTCACAGGAAAGTAACATGTGCTTGAGACATTCATAGGAAGACCTGCCAGCCCACCTGCCCTGCACTAAGGGACTTCCAGGACCACATCTTCTTAACTTGCTTTTGCTCTATGGGCTGGGGACAGCAGGAGGGACAGGGTGCTAACTTGAGAACTCAAGGGTTTGCTTTTCCTTCCTTCCTTTCTTCCTTCCTTCCTCCCCTTCTTCCTCCCCTCCCCCCTCCCTCCCTCCTCCCTCTGTCCCTCCCTCCCTTCTCTCTCCTTTTTGTTTTGTTTTGTTTTGTTTTGTTTCTAAGGGTACAGGAGTGGGGTTGGTTGTTACTCCCCTGCACACACAGTCTCTCTGACTACTGTTAAAGCATTTCATTGTTTCCAAATGCCAGCTTTGCCTTAGTTTGCAAAGACTGTCGCAGTAGAGGGTGGGGTTTCTGAGGCAGGTAACTACAATGGCTCTGGGACCTCTGAAAAGATCAACATCCTTCATTGGGTATTTTTGTCTGTTAAGATGTACTGAGCCTGTTCGTTCTCTATTTTTTTGAAATCCCATTTGTTATAATATATTTTTCCGATCCACTTATGAAAGGAACTCTGTAAACAAATACAAGATCCCTTTGAAATAATTGTCTTCATGGCGCCTCAGCAAGACCCCTCTCGTCCGGAAGTAGCTTTCTCAAGAGCAGGGTGCTGGTCCACGCTGGTCCCTGGGTGACACTTGTCCTCCTCTGGTTTGGCCTTATTAGAAGGACAGCCATTGCCTCGGGCCAACTTCTCTTCACCCCATTTGAGCAATCTGTTCTTCCCTCCTTTGCCCTTTCTCTAATCACTGTGTGTGACTTCAGTCGAGGAGGTGTTTTCCCACCAGCACAAACAAAACATGTCATTTGGCAGCCGTTTGTCCTATAGAGCTGAAATTAGCGTTTGTGTCCTGGCAAATTCGTATGTCGGGAAACGCCGGTCGAAGAACTGAAGGACTTTCCCAGAAGCAGGGATCGTTACTGTCTTATCTGTGATTACAATGTCTATCATTTACAAGGATTTTGAATGATGCGCAGATAACATGTTAAGTAAAAATAAGAATCTTAGAGGAGAAAGGGCATACAAATCAGAATTCAGTGCAAAGCACTGCTGTGTGCATTTCCCCATTTTCCTTTTAAAAAATTATTCAAAATGCCGTGACTTAGGATGGGCATCACGCAGGAACTATCAGAATCTCTCTCTCTCTCTCTGTCTCACTCTCTCCTCTCACTCTCAAGTAGTGGGCACAGCAACAAAAGAGAAAATGAAAATCTGATTGCTCTCGTCACCAGGATGAGGCCTAACGAGGCATGCAGAGCGTTGTCGAGACATGCATATCCGTGTCAGCCACGTTAATGTTTTATTTAGCTGTCAGTACACAACAGACGTTACCACCTGTCCTTCTAGAGCTGATCTGCGAGGACGCAGCTCATGCCTCAGAAACCAAGCAGACGTGCGATTTCTGGCTGGCCGTCCAAGCCCACTTTTCTGCCCAAGTACATCAGTTGAATTTGTCCTTTGCTAAAGATGTTAAAAATCATAATGTCTCATGTCAGTAGCAATAATGAAGGGGAAGATCGACTTTAATGACATTATGAGAATCATTATGTTTAATTTATCACTAATTAATGCTGGCAGGTTTCATATGCCCTGGGTTGCTTTCATGTGGATGCTACTGTGCTTTTTTTTTAAATTGTGTGTACACATCCCTCCTCGTTCATTCATTTGATTCTGACGATTTACACAGCTTTCTGTCTTCTAGGTTCCCTCCCCACATGGTCCCTCCCCATCATACTCTCCACACGACCGGCATCCCCCATCCAGCCATCGTCACCCCAACAGTCAAGCAGGAATCCTCACAGAGTGACGTCGGCTCACTCCATAGCTCGTAAGTGTTACAGTTGCCGTGTCATGCTCTGTGGCCTGGGTGATGGTTGCCATGGTGGCTGCTGCTTGGTGGCTTCCTGGCCACGGTCAGCGTCTCCTGCTTGACCCTTGGCAACACCCCGTCCCTATGGCCTCTGGCTTCCTATAAAGGAGGACGTGCTCGCTAGCAGGTCACACTGATTGTCACACTCCTTCCCGGATCAGAGATCTCCATGGTGTGTGTTTGAAGAGACGGGGGATGGCATTTGGAGCTTTGTTCGGCAAGCAGGACAGAACCCTGGGAAGTGGGGTCGGCCACCCTGTGCTTCTCCTCTGCCCTGGGAAAATGTCTGTTTGCAAATGGCGAGGAAGCGATCTCAGAATCTCTCACCAGCCCGGCCTCCTCCAGCTGCTCCTGGGCCTTGCTCTGGGGTGCAAATGAACTTTTTAACTTGAAACCGCCAGGCTTGGGTGGGAAGAGGAAGGAGCATGGGCTCTGCTTTGGGGAATGCTGATGCACAGTTGCTTACTGGATGGCGTCTGCCCATCTCCTTCTGTCTCTATCCAGAAAACATCAGGACTCCAAAAAGGAAGAAGAAAAGAAAAAGCCCCACATAAAGAAGCCCCTCAATGCGTTCATGTTGTATATGAAGGAAATGAGAGCGAAGGTGGTGGCCGAGTGCACACTGAAGGAAAGTGCAGCCATTAACCAGATCCTCGGGCGCAGGGTAGGTGGTCCTCCGTGGAGAGAACCAGAGTGGGCCAGAAACCGTGACTGGTGTCCCTTTACACCTTGCTCTGCCGAGCATGGCCACAATCCTGCCACTTTGAGTCCTTGTCTGGCTTCCACTGATCAAGATCATTGAGCGTTTGAACAGCCTTTAGGATACCACATCCCTCATCTTCCCGCGAGGACAGGCTTGGTTTCTCTGGGTACCATTGTTAGTGTCAGGCCCCAGCAAGCATCAGTATCTGCACGCTCTACCGTGTCTGCATAGACTCGGGCCCTCGTGGCATTGAGTCTGGTTTATCTCCGTGCTGCCGTTTGTGATGTTTCTGCCTGTCTCTCTCTCTCTGCCCGTGTTCTCTGCAGTGGCATGCCCTGTCCAGGGAAGAGCAAGCAAAGTACTACGAGCTGGCCCGGAAGGAACGACAGCTTCACATGCAGCTGTACCCTGGCTGGTCTGCGCGGGATAACTATGTACGTGGACCACTTTCTGGAGAATTCAGTCTTTGTGGGTATATATTGTATGTCTGCAAGGACCCGAAGGATGGGTTATTGCCTGCTTGAACCGGGCTTCTAGACCGTTCATTCTGTCCACTTCTAGGACCTGTCCCTGACCTCCAGTCAAGGAGCTTGGCTTTTAGTGTGACTCTATTATATTAGCAGGAGACAGGCAGGAAGCTGGCATCTGTGTTCCCACACGGGACCCTGGAGACTAATTTGGGGTGTCTGTATTTTTCTACCTACCTGTTAGAAAAAGTAGAGCTCCAAAACACATTCAAAAGTACTGCATTCCAGAAATAAAGACCACACTAGATAGATGGGTGGGTGGGGCATTTTAACTCCTTACAGACCTTCCAGCAGGGAAGGGAAGCCTCAGGGAAGGAAACCCATTAAGCATCTGTCTGTGGCCAGCCAGGCTGTCACAGGAGCCCGTTTCACTCCGAGAACGGCATGATGGGAATATCCCTGAAAGTAGCCAGCAGAAGCCATCTTTTGGTAGGGAAGATGAAATGAGTCTGGGTTCCACAGAGGTGGGGAAGGATGTGTGTCACATAACACATCTGTCATATGATGTGTGTGCTTCTGAGCTCTATTGGCAAATTTTCTGTCTTGCTTCTTAAACCTCCTCTTTAGTAGGACTGTTGTTACTACCTGCACTGATGGCACACAACAGATTTCCAGTTCCGGAGCCCTGTTGTCTCTCCCATTAGTCCTGATCCTGTGTTTACACAGCAGCTCTGAGTTCTGGGCATCTTCCTTCTCCAGATAGGTAGCACGTCTCTTGCTTTGTCTCTTTGTTGCATCATGTTTGGTCTCATGAAATGTCTCTTCCATCCACTCTGATGTCAAATCAAACCTGTCTTGCTGCCAGCACAGGCTTCTTTTCCTCTTCTCTCTTGGAGCCAGCAGAGTATTTTCCCGGTGGTGCCAGTGGAGAAGCTGGGAGGATGACTCCATTCCATTGATATCATCTCTCCAAGGGCTAGCTCTTTGAATTTCCTTCACTCTTTTCCCTCATACCTGTAAGAGTGGAGCTGGCTCGCCTGCTGTCCATCAGGTAGACAAAGAGTCTGGACTGGGATCTATAGCAATGCCCCTGCCCATGACCCTTCAGGCCTCCCTGCCCAGACAGCACTTCCGCTCTTGAGAGAGCAGCCAATGTCACTAGCAGACAAGCATCATGAACTCTTAGCTTCGTGAGACCTTGCTGCTTGTCTCTGTGTGTGCTGCTAGGACGCCTTTCTTCTGAGACCTAGGGGAAGAGAAGAGCAGTTGAGCTCTCCCAACCCAATCCCAGGTGGCACTCCAGGGCTAGGCACCCTCCTGTACATATTCCACCACATCATCTCAGGAGAGCTGTCCCTCTGACTCTTGGGAGCTCTGGCTTATTACACGTCCAATCCTGGAGTCGTCAAGAAGGTATCCCAGAACAGGATCCAGTTTCTCCAATAGCTACCATATCTTAAGGCATCCTAGGCTCCTGTCTTCACAGGGCCTTCACATAAAAACTGCTCAGTTTGTGGACCATGGGCCACTTACACCGTGGACAGGGTAGATGGTGCCCTCTGGGGTTGCACAGGATGATCACAAAATCACAGCAGACTTGATGACAGTATCAGAAACATTCTATGTTTGACTTGCAGGGAGTCATTTAGACACCGTCCTAGACATTCTGTGATGCGCTTCCTAGAGTTTTCATGGTCCGCAGGTCACTTGGCCTGACCTCCATTCTGTGTTAGGACGTAGCCTGGACAATAAGGAGCCACTGAGTACATGAGGGGGCTGCTTAGAGGCGGATTGATATCAGACTGCAGGAACTTAGCCTCCTGGGCACAGGCTCTTGGGTTCCTGTGTCAGTGTTTCCTTACACACGTGTGGAAATGCATGAGCATTCCTTCCTTCCACGCTCCAGGGAACACACTGGGGTCAGGGGTCTCACACCCGAAGCTTTTGTGAGTTTGGCCATGGTGGGAATTTGTTAGGATTCCTTTTTAACTAACTTGACAATGGAGGTTCTGCGGATAACTCTGGCTGCTGCAAAGCCCAGAAGATTCTCTTGGGAGATGTGTTCAGAACCAGCCCTTCTTGCCTTTCCAGCCGAGTGGGGCTTGGAGCCTTTATGTCACCACATAAAGTGTATTGGAGGGAAACCCATCTGGCTGCTCAGACTTGGCTTGTTCTTTGGGACCCAGGAGAAGCTAGCTGGTACCATGGTAACAGCTAGCTGACCCGGTGTCATAGCAGAGCATTCCTTCCTTCTTTTATTAAAGGTTGTATATGAAACTTGACTTCTTTCTCTCGCTCTCATTCCTTGTGCCTTTTCTTTTTCTTGTTACCTTTAAAGAGGAAATGGTCTCCCCTTGTCTCTTCATGTCTTCTTCTCATTAAACATCATCCCTGTTCACCAGGATCTAGTAGTCTGTCTGCACTGCTCTTTGCTTGGCCATGATGTGACCTGCATTCCAGGTGTCAGTGCACAGCAGAGAATTCTGTAGGGGACCATGAGATGGCCCTGGAGTGTTTACAGGGGCAACACAGGCACCTTCAGGTTAGACTACTTCTCTTGAGTCTTTCTTCCAGCTCATCCTACCTACTCTGAGAGTCACATGGCCTGCTTCCATTGTTTTTCCTTTTGTGCCAAGAAACATAAAGGATCTGGTGCAGAGCTGCATAGAGGGCCAGTGTTCCCAGTGACCCAGACCTCGTACCCTCAGAGGGTAGAGCAGCCCTCTCTGGAATAGCTGGATTTATCCAAGCCTGGCAACCTTGGGGTTTCTGCACATCCATCCCTGTCCTTTTCTTTTGGGTGTCACTGTTCCATCAAACCTTTAAGCAAAGGTGGCAACATTTACATATTCTGAAGCACACAGATTGATTTGTAAGACCGCAGCTGCCTCACCTGGGCCAGAGAGCCTCCCTAGAGCCCAGCAATAGGGCAGGGTGTCCCAGAGTCTTGCTCGCTCACTTGATAGGGTCAGGCTGTCAGGTGGTAATGACTTAAGGCCGTCTCCCCACCCTTGAAGTGTCAAAGAAGGGCTGCTACGGTAGAAGGCACAGTCCATTGCTGAGGGCAATGCTTTCAGACCACTTGGGTTGGCACTCTGGCTCCTCTTCATGGTAGCTGTGCCAACTCAAGGCCGTTGCCCAGCCTCTTTGTGCCTGTTTCCTCATTTGTGACTCCGGAGTGTGAAGACACATGTACTGTGTAGAGCTCTTGCCTGTTGAGTCATGCCTGGCTCCTATTGTGTACTTGGCTCCTGGTTTTCCGGGGTTTGACTTGCAATTTCTCAGCTTCATGGTGTCATGGAAGCATGCCATACAACTGGTCTACTTTCCACGTGTAAGAAAGTATACAGTCAGTGGCACAAGCCATTCAATACTTTTCAATAAGTCAGGCTCCATGGTAGATGACTTTGCCCACCTGTAGGCTACCCTGTGTGTGTTTGCAGGGGGCTGGCTAGACTGTGATGTCCTAACGCACTTGTGAGTTATGGTCTCTGTGGCCAGTGATGTGTTTGTTGGGGTAAGAGCATAGGGGAACACTTTCCCTTGCCTATGCCTGACCACCCTGTAATTTAGACAGAAGCCCAGGTGGCACTTGGTTCTCTCTTTGCTCCCACTCCTTACGATCCTTTAAGAGGAAGGATCGCACTACACTTCTGAAAGGAATCACTACTACAGAGAAGCTAGAGTCATTTCTCTCTCAACTCAGGACAGGGAAGCGGGGAAGGTTTGTCTTTCATAGCGAGAAGCTGTGGGGCAGGTAGGGCAGCTGTGAACCATTGTGGGCTTTAAGGTTTCTCTGTGTCCCCTAGGGGTGTGTCCATCCTGCTGCCCAGCCTGCTCTCCATCCCTCCCGGAATCTCCCTTGCCCCTTTCACCTCCCTTTATGGAGTCAGACGTCCTGGGTCAGGCTGAAGAAGGGAGAAGGCCATGAGGTCTTTCCACATCGACCCTCTGGCCTTCTCTTTTCTTCAAGAAATGTGTGTCCTCCCAGCTAGGCAGAGTTCAAGGGTTGGATTCATGGCTGGCAGATTGAATAGACTTGGGAGATTAGTGGAGATAGCCAAGCTTGTCCCTCCCGGCTCCCCTGCCATGTGCATCCAGACACCTCCTTCCTTGACCTAATTTCCTGCATTTCTTCTATTCATCTAGGGGAAGAAGAAGAAGAGGAAAAGGGACAAGCAGCCGGGTGAGACCAATGGTGAGTGATAATAGTCAGGGTGATGGCAGAAACACTAGTTGGGGGCCACTCTTATGTCAGGCTTCCATCTGGGGGAGGCAGGAGGAATCCAAGGCCAGGACATTGTGGGGAACCCATCTTAGGGAGCCTTTTCTGTTGATGTGTTTTAATTAATTGCTTTATGACTGCCCTTTTAAAGCTAGTAACATCCATTGTTGCATGAAAAGCCCGTTGTAATTCTGGCGGAATGTGTTTTTAAATAACTGCAAGCCTGTAACTAGAGAGTCCGCGGTAGGCATGCCTCTGCCGGGCTTTGAACAGCCTGCTTACGTATGTGCCTGAGAAGGGGTGAGGAGGGGCCTAGGGGACCAGGAGGGGCGTGTGTGAGTGTTGGGGTAACTGGCTGTTCCTGAGTGTTCCAATGCATGCCTTTACAGTGGTAATCGTGCCCATTTTAAATTAAGGAGGTTTGCCATTCAGCGACAGAACTAGAAATACTGCATAGGCAATGAAGGGCCCTTGGAGAAGGCCAGGCTTTACAGACAAACAAAAAGTTTGAAGAATTTGTGTAATTTGTTCTTTTTTTTCAGAACACAGCGAATGTTTCCTAAATCCTTGCCTTTCACTTCCTCCGATCACAGGTGCTAATGTCCTTTTGAGTCGTTAAAATAGTTGATAAACTGTTTTTTTTTTTCATTTTTCCTGCCATTTATAGTTTTATTAACATTAAACACGTATGACATTTGAACATCCTTTAAAATGATCATCTACACGGTTTCATTATGTTTCAGTAGATTTTTTTTCCAGTTGCTTTGTTGGTTTTATTTATTTTTTATTTTAGCTTCTGTTTCATTGATTGATTGTTCCCATAACCGTTGTTTAAGCAGCGAAGACAGTGGCTTAGAGCGGAACTAACTGTGCAAATTGAATATGCAGTATTTCTTTAAAAGAGACTGGTGAAGAAAAAAATGGAAAAAATTCCGTAATAAACCTCCTTAATCTAATGGCTTTTTCCGTTGCCCCACTAAGTTTTCTCACGCCAGCATGCAATCGCAGTATGATTATTTTTTCCTTTGCTTATTATTTATTTTTTTCGTTTGTTTGTTTGTTTGTTTGCTCTTCCTTTTGCTTTTTGACTTCATCATTTGCAAACCTGCTAGCGCTTCCTGACCATGCCTGCTTCCATGCCCGTTAGGAGCATCTAACACCTAACAGCTCATCCCATGGCCTCTTTACCCTTTCTTCCCTCTTAATAACAATGAAAATAGATTTAAAAAAAAAAAAGAGAGAACGCCCAAAAGCTGCAATATCCCAATACCCACAACCCTTTTCTTTCTTTTTTTCTTTCTGTTTCATTTCATTTCGTTCTGTGTTCATTTGTAGTTTTTCTGTTTGTTTGTTTCTTTTCAAAACTGTGGTACTCAGAAGAAAAAAGCATGTTACGAACCTAATTCCTTCCTTTGCTTTGTTTTCTTCTTTGAGAAAAAAGAAAATTGAGAGAATAAAATAAAATAAAACAAAAAACAAACAAAAACCAGAACTAAACTAAAAGAGGAAAAATAATGGAAAGAGCATGTTCTTGGCTCTTGCCGTCCTGCGGGCGGCTGGACCCGGTTCTGACCGTCCTTGAGAAGGGATACTGCAGCTTTATTTGCCACAGCTAATTTCACAAGTTGAATAAGTGTGATTTTTACATTTTTAATTAAAGAAAGTTTTTAAAAAAAGAAAGAAAAGTCAATATTTTGCTATTAGTAACCCGGTCATTGATTTATTCCCTTTTTTATTTTTATTTTTTTCTTGTTTGTATCTCTCTCCCCCCCTCCCTTCCCCCTCTCTCTTTCTCTTACTCCTCCTCTCTCTCTCCTCCTCTCTCCCTGCCTCCCATGTCCTCCTCTGCTCGCTCCTTTCTTGAACTCATTCAGACCTGAGCGCTCCTAAGAAATGCCGAGCGCGCTTTGGCCTTGATCAACAGAATAACTGGTGCGGCCCCTGCAGGTGTGTATAGTCTCCCAGATCCGCTGTGCTGGTTTGCAGCTGTCTCTTCCGTTCTTCTCCCTCTGGCCTGTTGCTTTGTAGCTTTGTGTGTGGATCGTAGGAAATACCAGGGAGCGGGACACTGCCAGTGTATGGGCTCCACGAGGGATGTGCTTGTCTGCCAGCTGCTGCTAGCCAAAATGCCACTGTAAAACAGTGTGTGTGCCTCCTCAGGGCCGAGACTCATTCCAGCGTGCCCTCGACTGGGGAGTGTTGCCTGTCAACCCCCTTCCTGTGATAGCCAGGATGTGCTCATCCTGGTCTAGGTAGAAGCCAATGACGTCACCCTCTCCCTTCCTCTTCTCTCTCTCTTTTTATTTATTTTTCATTGTTGGTTTTGTTTTGTTTTGTTTTTCATTTTTGTTTTTGTTTCTGGTTGTTGTTTTCCTTTGTGCGTGCGTGTGTAGTGTGTGTGTGTTTTATTGTTTTGTTCTATTTATTTATTTTTTGGTTTGGCTCAGAGAAGCCCGTTCCTTTCAACCCCTTGATGAGGGCCAATTGTCAGGTAGAGCCAAGATGATGCAGAGAGCGGTTAGTGGAGGACTCAAGCCAACCAAGCACGACCCACCATTGTGTTGTATTTTTTTTTTTGTGTTTACCTTATGCTAACAGATGCAAATACTCCAAAGAAGTGTCGGGCACTGTTCGGGCTTGACCGACAGACTTTATGGTGCAAACCCTGCAGGTACATGACCATTCTGAGGCCTTGGGAACAATCAGAGCCTTCTGTCCTTCCGCTACTTAGTGGGTCGATTTATTTTGCCCTCATTCATGTCTACTTTCCCCCACTGGCATCAATGACTAATAAACTCTCCTTCTTCAGATTTTCCTTGCTAATTTCATACTGTTTCCTCCCCGCCCCCTATTCCTCCCTGTTCTTGTGAAGAACATGTCCCTGGTAGCAAGAACTGACAGCCTTGAAGACAGGCACTGAGGATCTGGCTTTGAAAGCCAGTGTCCTGGAACTGGCCAGCTGGTGAATGACTCGGTGCCCTGTTCTGAGCAGAGAGCCACTGTGCCCCCCCCCCCGGCCCCAGGTGTGAAAGAGTCAGAACTGGAATTTGGCAGTAGTAGCATTCCCAGGCACTTTCTGTTAAAGACACTGAGAGAAATGCATTGGGGCAGGCTGATTTTTAAAAATCCCTTTTTTTTTCTTTCTCTCTCTCTCTCATTCTCTCTCTCCCGCCCCACTTTGGTTGTTCTATGTTTAAAACACGTATCTGTATGGAGGAGCTCGTTAGCGGACATTGTTTTACAGTGCTGAAAAAGAAGCGTGGCATTGAATGGCGTGCACCAGCTAAGAGCCTGTGCACAGCAAGGGCTGCAGCCAGACACTGCAGCGCTGCCAGGCCTGCAGAGCAAACAGTCGAGCGTTACGATACGCAGATGTAGCATGGGTTCCCACATGCATCCGATCAGTCCAGAAGAGTCCAAATTGAGCCCCATGATCTGCCGGCAGGTCTCCCCACTTATGGCACTGGCAGAGAAGGTGTAGGTACTTCCTTCTTGGTGGAGGGAATGCGCTCTCGTCCCCATCTCCTTTCCTTTCCTTTTAATGACCACCTTTGGTTAAATTTGTTGTTTCTTTGTTCTGATACAAGCAGTCTTTGAATTTGGAATATTATGATGGTAGGTATCTCAACACCCCAAACACACATCCCTGTTCGTAGTGCCTCCCACGTCACGTGTCCCTCTTCTCCATCCCCTTTTGCCGTGCTCCGTGTCTAGACGTTAGATCAGATGTTCATCCCATCACGTGCATGCCCACGAGTCTGCTGTGTCTTCTCTGGTGCCAGTGTGAGAGATGGCTGACCACACAAGACCCCAGGGGAGAGAGGGAGCATCACTGACAGACAGCTACACAGATTCTCAGTACTCCAGAGTAAGGGAATTGGGCCCTAGACAGGCACCCAGCAGGAGAGCAGCTTCCTGTGAGTGGACAGCCCCAGGGACTTCCTGAGAAAGCCACATGGGGATGTTAGGTATTAAATTAGGGAGGTCAAGGACCTGCTTGCCCTCTGTAGGTAATAAGTTGGTTAGCACTTTATGAATGCCCAGGGTAAGACAGCGGAATACCCTGTCCTAGCACGTCACAATAGGCACCGTTGCCTGTGTCCCACAGTGAGACTGGTACAGGTCTCATAATTTTATTCCTGAATGGTTTATTTATGAACCTTTTTTTTTTAGTATCAGATCAGTTGCTGCAAACTTAGCAACAAGGATAGACCACCCGCCCCCACACCCCATTCCTCAAATACAACCCATCTTTGCTTAAATCCATAATGAGTTATCATCCTCTCACCAGAAATTTCTTGATACTTTTACCACCACCAACAACAACTTTTTAAATTGGATTTTTATCTTGTTTTACCAGTTTAAAACCCTTGTCTCTTTGTCCTTGAGCTCCTTGGTCCTCTAAAGCACACATTGGGGGCTCACTGTCCACAATGCACCATTTTTTTCTGTTGTCAAAGGGACTGACACATCCCTGGACAGAGGATGTGAAGTCCAGCAGGTCCCTGTCACTTCCCAGCCTCCTGACCTCAGCTCCTAGAAAGTTCTAGCTGCTGTTTTTCTGTGCTTGGGGAGTCTTTTTTTTTTTTTTTTTTTTTTGTCTTTTGGCTGTAGATGTGTTAGCAAGCTGACTTCAGCTGTCCATTTGAGGAGGACCTTCCAAAGTAGGACCAGGAAGCATACTTAGAAGCTATACATGGGTGTTTATGAGATGCCTCTAAAATGGAGTGGGTCACAGTATGGAGCTTGAACTAGGAGCTACCCATTCTCCTTCTGCCAGCTGTTCCATTATACACTGCCAAACCACACTGAGCTGGGTGCTAAACTCAATGAGACATTCAGTAAACAAGTCAAGCAAAAATCAACGAGAGAGAGAGAGAGAGAGAGAGAGAGAGAGAGAGAGAGAGAGAGAGAGGTGCTTGTGAATGGAGGCATTTTCTGACCCATCCAGATGTGCGTATTCCAGCTGCCCCACTAGGGGCGCGTCAGTCCACCACCACCATAGTCCCCCCTGTCCTTTGTTCAAATGCTCCCCACACAGCATTTTCGAATGACTTGGAAAAGAGGGTGGGAAGGGCAAGGAGAGCCTTAGCAATGCTCCTAGCCAATCAGGACTCTAGGTTCTAATTTTATTTGGCATTTGAGGACATTTTAACCAAACCCTGTTTTGAGCCCACCAAGTTGCTTCCCCATCTTCTTGCCCCATCCTAACAGAGCCTGGAATGCTGGCTGCTTCATGCTCCCCTCTGGCTGTTCCTCACTCCCTCTCCCCTCCTCTCCTCTGCCCCCCCCCCCCGTTGCTGCCTTTGTTTGCTTACACCCTCCCCACCCTCCTTTTTTTCTTCCTGTTTTTAAAAATGCATGGAGACCCTAGTTTGTGAGCATGCTTCTATCTGCAGGCTAAGGTGGTTTAAAATGGAGAGGTTAAATTATTTGTTTCATTTCTGGGATGGGAGCAGAACCCATAGTCTGTGCCAGTCTGTCCAGAGAGAGAAAGGAAGCCTGCTAGACAGGGTAAGAGGGGACCATCCTTGTTCCCCTAGAGTTCCTTCTGGCCTACACAGCCCCAGCCCCAAGGCCTGAGCCTCAGGGAGGCAGGGAGAACTCAGCATGCCCTCTTCCACTCTTCCCTCTTTTCCTCCCCTCCTGCCACCCTACAGAGTCCGTGCCCCGTGCCCCATGCTCTGGGCCTAGACCACAGGAAGAACTAACTCATACAGTACAGTCCCATCCTTGTAAATGCCAGAGACACTGTCCTATGGGGGTTGCCTTCAAATAGGCAGCATCTTGGAGGTTCTTCAGTGACCAGTGGCTGACCAGTGCTCACACACTTGGTTTTAGATGGAGCGGTACTCACCTACCATTGTTCTGAGTCTTTGGATGAGCACTTTCCCAAGTCTGAATTGTCTTTACAGCAATAGTGGGTTGATCTCCAGGGTCCCTTTTCCTGCTAAGTAGATACCCATCAGCCAGCGATCCATGGTGGGCAAGGCTTTGAAGTCACATGCCTGATTTCTTGATTTGGTTTTCCCCACCTTATCCTTTGATAAAGTCAGAAAGGCTCTGAAATTCTCATTCCTTCTTCCTATACAAATGGGTTGTGGAGAGGGGAGACTATGGCTTTGGCATAGGACAGGTTTAGTCTTTCTGGTTCAGACCCTGATCCAAGCTCCCTCCAGGCCCCTCCTGCTGGCCATTTCTCTGTGACTGCCTTGTGCTATGTATTTCATTTCCTGACCTCAGCATAGGACAAGAACAAGGCACCCCATGTACCATTCTCACTCCGTGCGACCTTCTCACGAAGGGGTAGGGACATCCCAAATCTTTAAGGGTGGGAAATAAAAATAATCAAATTTTTTTTAAAAAACAACCTTGAATCTTAATTTTATCCACAACCTGCAGGCCATGTCAACCAGTTATTCTCGTACTTTTGAATCATTTTCTGTTTTTCTTACTCTCCCTTCCCCCTTCTTTGTTTACCCTCTTCTGCCTGTTTTTTGGTGGTTCTTCTTATTCTTTTTTTTTTTAATTTACTTACTTTTTGGTTGGTTTTGTTTTTTTAGTTTGTTTTGTTTTGGTTTTGCTCTCCCTCCACTCCCCTCCCCTCTCACCTGATTCTGACCTCTCGATTTGGTGTGGTTCGGAACAGACAAGCCCAAAAGCTCTCTGGGACCCACTGCCTCACGGTGGTGGTGTGTTAAAACCTTTAAGCCCCTTGCCTGCTCTGCCTTCAGCTATGTGGGCTCAGCAGTCAGCATTCTGAGAGTTTCATATTGATAAGAGGCCACTGGGGATGAACCTTTCTTTCTCTTTTAAATACACTCAGGCATCATTGGAGACTGGGGGTGGGGAGGGTGGGAAAGAATCGGGAGGGCAGGCAAGCAGATGTGATGGGAAAGGGAAGGTAATCCAAGCCCAAAAAGAAATAAAGTATGTTAGTCTTCGTGTAGATGAAAACCCTTCCCGATGAATCTGTGCCACCCTCTGCACTGACTTCCGTTAGTCTGCTCACATATATTCTGGAAAGAGTGGGGCCCTGGGTGTCCTGTGAGGATAGGACATGGGTAGGGCAACTCCTTTGCCAGAGCGGATGTAGACACCGGAGCCACACAGCCCCCTGAGCCCCCTGAAGTAACTGCTTTAATCGCTCTGTGCTGCCTGGCATGACCTGTAGGGGGCATCCCTTGAGTGACATCAGCTTCTTGTGAGCATTGGCTAGCTCTCTACCTTGGCGTCTTTGCCCTTCATTCACAGATAACTCTCTCCCCTGTTTCTAGGAGAAAAAAAAAGTGCGTTCGCTACATACAAGGTGAAGGCAGCTGCGTCAGCCCACCCTCTTCAGATGGAAGCTTACTAGACTCGCCTCCCCCATCCCCGCATCTGCTAGGCTCCCCTCCCCAAGACGCCAAGTCACAGACTGAGCAGACACAGCCACTCTCGCTGTCCCTGAAGCCTGACCCTCTGGCCCACCTGTCCATGATGCCACCGCCACCTGCGCTCCTGCTGGCTGAAGCTGCCCACGGCAAGGCCTCCACCCTCTGTCCCAACGGAGCCCTGGACCTGCCACCTGCTGCCCTGCAGCCACCCATGGTCCCCTCTTCATCGCTCACACAGCCGTCAACATCTTCCTTACATTCCCACAACTCTCTGGCTGGGACCCAGCCCCAGCCTCTGTCTCTGGTGACCAAGTCTTTAGAATAGCTACACCTCGTCCACCGTCCCCTGCTTGATTGACGTGTGTCCTCCTGGTTCTTGGTTTGCCCTTCCCCATCTTGGAAAGCTTTTGTTTTGTACTCTTAATTTTGTGCCTCTGTGGCTTACATGAGTTGATGTTTATCGAGTTCATTGGTCAATATTTGACCCATTCTTATTTCAATTTCTCCTTTTAAATATGTAGATGAGAGAAACCTCATGATTCTACCAAAATTTTTATCAACAGCTGTTTAAAGTCTTTGTAGCGTTTAAAATATATATATATATACATAACTGTTATGTAGTTTGGATAGCTTAGTTTGAAAAGACTGATTAAAAAGCAAAAAGAAGAAAAAAAAAAGAGAGAAGCCGTTTCGAAGCACCCTCCAGAAGGAGTTGGTTCTGTATTATTTGTATTAAATACGAGCTTGCGAACCAATCACTTTACATCGCGGTTTTGAAACCATGAGGGCACAATGAATGCAGTGCCGTCTCTTTCCTTTTCTTTCTTTCTTTCTTTCTTTCTTTCTTTCTTTCTTTCTTTCTTTCTTTCTTTCTTTTTCCTGTGTGAAACAACTTTTATTGTGATGTTACTTGTTATTGTTTAAATGTACAGAAACAAAGGGTTAAAATGTGTTAATATACCTTGTTCCATGGTGTTGTTCTTTTGGGGGGAGGGGGACGCTACTCAACAATGAATGGAATCAGAGCTGTTGGACCAGTAGTATTTATTGCTTTAGAGATTGCTTGTACCTGTACGTCCGTCCCTTTAAAATATGTTTTACTTTTTTTTGAAACTGTATAAAGTCCACCCCCCCCCTTAGCATAAGCATCTTATATATAACAACTCATTTGTACAAGGTTTTTAAGTTTATATATAAAATGTGTATATATTTTTTTGTTTTCTTTTTTTGACTTTTGTCTGTTTTTGTTTGTTTCTGTATGAAACCCAGATGCCACCAAATGGACATTGATAGTTGCATTAAAGATCAGTAGCATTAACAAAAGTTGCTTTAAAAGCCATTATGTGAAACAAGACTTGAACATTAGTGAGAGAATCTTAGCAGCTGTCTGAGCAGCCATGGGAACCACCCTGTTTCCCCCCCTCCCCCCCCCACCTCCTAGTCAATTGCCCTGTGCTCTTAGAACATGGACTGACCGCGTGCAAAACTTTTATGTGCCAAAACTCTCAGTGACTTTAGCTCTCTCCCTCTTCTCTGATGCTGTACTTTCCGTTCGCCATGTTTTGCTGTGATGTTACATAGATAGATTTGTATGTAGTTTTAATGTCACCTATAACAAAATGTGTTTGGTAGCAGACTGTCCAGAAAGCATTTTAAATGAAGAGGTCTAAACCCTTAAGGGCCAAAAATTCTGTATATTAGATTACTCTTAAATGAAAAAAAAAGAAAAAAGAAAAAAAAAACCAGCTGCCGCTTTTATGTACGCATATTACATACAAGTAGGTGGTGAACTTAACACAGGAGACCCTAGGCATGCTGATGTTGTAAAATCCTGTATAAAGCCGAGACCTGTTCCTCCAGTGCCATCGTAGTTGACATGAAGCGATTGTAAAACTGTCTCCGGTTTTCTCTGGTTTATTAAAATGCTAACTATAACATTTTTTGTGAATACTTTGAATGTTTCCTAACAGTTGTGATGTTATTGTTCTGTTTTATGCTTATCCCGAGTTCATTTTGAATGGTTTGGAAGCCGTTTTTGTAATGAATAAATGTCCATGCTGTACAGTATGTAGCATGCTGTTCTGGGTTAATAAAAGCAACTTAGTATGTGCAGAGGAAGGCTTCTCTTGCTTCTGTGATTTGGGGTGGCAGTGTCTCTTTCGGAAACTGGACTTCCTGTGGAGGGACAGGCTGGGCTTCGGCTTGAGCTGGGGTAGTGGTATGTGGTGATGTGGCTGGCTGGGTGCCTAATGCTCTTCAGGGCTTCTCGACCCCCCCACCCTTGGTGAACGGTGCGTCCTGTGTACCCGGTTTAGGGTATGTCTCATTTGCAGTGAAGATGCCTGTATAGAGAAAGACTAGATCTAGGGTGTCATTTCTGTATGACACTGAGTCATGAGAAAGGCACAGATGTTGCTGGTTTGGCCCTCCGTTTCTCGTGCCCTGTTCATGGCACAGTGAGAAACGGAGTTCGATTCTGGAAAGGGTGCTTTCCTTCCCCCAGAGTGGACTTAAGGAACTAAATGCATCCCACCTGAGGATGCTGAGTGTGAGAGTCTCCTGATTTGCTCATCACTGCCTGACGGAGGGAAGCAAGGAATCCTTAAGCAAGCATCTTTTTCAAAAATTGGCATCCCACTCCCACAGCTGTGCTGGAGGGGAGGTAAGTGATTCGCCCGGCTCTGCAGAAGGGGTCTTGCTGTTCAGGGGACCCATGTTCTGGGTTAACTTCAAGTTGGCCACCGTTACTAAGGAGGGTTGCAGAGAACATCTTTCTGTGGTCCCTGGGTGTCGCTTCTTGCTGTTGAGTGGCTGGGCTATTTGTTGTTCTTGTGTCTAGGATCTCTGTGCCTTCTGAGGGGGGCAATTTCAGCTACCCCAGAAGCCCTTCATGTGCCCTTACTTAAGAACACCGTGATGTTGGGTCAAGAACTTTGAGGAACCCTGCTTTGCTTGAGCTAGTTGTGTGTGACTTGTCTGTATTTTGTTTCTGCCCTGCTTTGTAGTCTGGTAAGGGAATTTCTGACCACCCTCCCCTACTGTATTTGCTATGCAGGGCCCGACTGACCTTTGAGAACAGAAATAAGAACACTGTGTGCTACTGATGGCAGTGTGCCAAGTTGTCCCTGCCCATTTTCTCATTAATCCTACCACCACCAGTGGAAGACTCCCCTGCTGGCTTCTGCCTTATTTCTAACAATGAATTGAGAAATACAATATATCTTGTCAAAGGCAACAGTTGGTAGAAGGGGGAATTGGAGGAGCTTCAGTGGAGACCTGGCTTCATGTCACGTTCTCAACACCGAGTTAAACCTTCGGGTGCTAGAGTTGTCCCTTCTCCCTGGCGGATAATATAGGACAAACCTCCCTTGCTTGGCTTACGCCTACCTCCATCTCACCAGTTCACTCTTAGGAAACCCACCTCGCAAGAAAATGAAACATTGCTGCTCTTTATCTCTCTTTGGGATTCTGTGAGCACAGCCTTTCACCAGCCCAGATAGAAAACCTCAGAGATCTAGACATGGAAGGTGCATGCACGTCACCCAGGGGTAACAGGCTCACTCGTAGCATTCATTTAACCTGGAACTCAATGGCCCCCTAAGAGTAACACCCTTGTTAAGAAGGCTCCATCCCTGGCTGGTGTGCGTTTTGCCGTATAAATGAGGTTTTAATTAAAGCCCTCTGGAAAGACCCTTGGGTAGTTTGAGGACTCTTGCAGGTGGCACCTGTGGCAAGAGCTTCAGACCAGAATTGGAATCACTGAGGAACTTGGTGGAGACTGGATTTCATGAAGCATTCCCAGCTGAGGTGACCCTCTTTGTTTCCCACCCAAGGGCTAGGTGAGCATCCCCATTCCCAGAAGAGTGATAAAGGCTAGACCTGAGATGATATGTGTCTGGCAGGAGCACTGGAGAGGTCCAGCTGGGGCTTTTTAGAGCTGGCCTCTTGTGAGTACGCTTCGTCTGTGCTGTGATTGGGCTCACCGTTCCTTCCTTCCTTCATTCATTCATGCCTCCAATGGCTGTTTCTTGGAGACTTATCTGCACTGGGGGATTCCAGGCCATGGCACGTGTATGAATGAAGCCAGCTTGCTCCCCCTTTCTTCCTCTCTAAGTTTCCTCATGTGTCATCTTACAGTACACACTTTGGATAACGGTGACGCAAGAGGGGGGCTGAAATCTTGGCTCACATCTCTCATCTAATCTGCAGCAGCAGAGCTGTGGCCTGGGTGTTCATTCTGTAAAGACAGCCAGCCAGGATTAGGCTTGGTGAGTTTCCCTGAAAGGACCTGTGTGGAAACAGCAAGTCTGAAGTCAGACCTGAGCCTCGGAGTTACCGCCATATGAGATGACACATGTACAGACAGCTGAGTACCTGGGTAGATCGGCCACAGGGCAGAGTTGAACCACACCCTTAAGTGGATTTTTCTGAGCCCCCCAGAGATGGGCCCTTTCTTAGTATATATGCAAGAGCATTTTCTTTTTACTGTTTTCTCATCCTTGGTTTCTGAGTGAAGAAGAGGAAGGAGGAGGAGGGAGGAAGGAAGGAAAAGAGGATAACAATGAAGACAGTTGACAATTGCATGAGTTGAGCCATTTTTGGACGCAGCACTAGAAGGTAAAGAATCTTAGAAAGACTGCAAAAAAATCAAGTGTATGTCACTACATATATTTTCCAGTATTGTCTGTTCACACCATATAGTGTTTTCCACATAATGGCTGTAAGCCACTGAAGGTCAGGAGATCAATGTAATGCATCAAGGTTAGCATTTTAAAAAGCAAGACAGAATGAGAAAGAAAATAGACTCTTTGTCATATGTGTTTGCTACATTATCTAAAGCCTTCCTTACTATGGTGAGAGTAAAACAAAAGCCAAGTCTGAACAATAGAAATAGCTGCAATACATTAAGATAATAATTTTAATATATTAAATGCAATATTCACATGTAGGGAATGTAGTTAAGAGAAGTTTATTGATGGACAGAATTTTTTCTTTTTTTCTTTTTTATTGATTTTTATTGAGCTCTACATTTTTTTCTCTGCTCTCCTGCCTCTCCCCTCCCCTTGAACCCTCTCCGAAGGTCCCAAGCTCCCAATTTACTCAGGAGATCCTGTCATTTTTTTTACTTCCCATGTAGATTAGATCCATGTATGTCTCTCTTAGGGTCCTCATTGTTGTTTAGGTTCTCTGGGATTGTGATTTTTAGGCTGGTTTTCTTTGTTTTATGTTTAAAAACCACTTATGAGTGAATACATATGATAATTGTCTTTCTAGATCTGGGTTACCTCCCTCAAAATGATGTTTTCTAGCTTCATCAATTTGCAAATTTCAAGATGTCATTATTTTTTCTACTGCATAGTACTCCATTGTGTAAATGTACCACATTTTCCTTATCCATTCTTCAGTCGAGGAACATTTAGGTTGTTTCCAGGTTCTGGCTATGACAAACAATGTTGCTAGGAACATAGCTGAGCACATGTCCTTGTGGCACGATTGAACATCCTTTGGTATTGCTGGATCTTGAGGAAGGTTGTTTCCTAATTTTCTGAGAAATTGCCTTACTTATATCCAAAGGACCAGCTTGCACTCCCACCAGCAATGGAGGAGTGTTCCCCTTACTGCCCATCCTCTCCAGTATAAGTTGTCATTGGTGTTTTTTACAGGTGTAACATGGAATCTCAGAGTTGTTTTGATTTGCATTTCTCTGATGGCTAAGGATGTTGAGCATTTCCTTAAGTGTCTCTCAGCCATTTTAGATTCCTCTGTTGAGAGTTCTCTGTTTAGGTGTGCACTCCATTTTTTATTGAATTATTTGTTCTTTTGATGATCAATTTTTTTAAAATATTTATTTATTTAATTAGGTGTACAGCATTTCTTCCATGTGTGCCCGCAAGCCAGAAGGGGTGCCAGTTCTCATTACAGATGGCTGTGAGCCACCATGTGGTTGCTGGGAATTGAACTCAGGACCTCTGGAAGAGCAGGCAGTGCTCTTAACCTCTGAGCCATCTCTCCAGCCCCAGATGATCAATTTTTTGAGTTCTATGTATATTTTGGAGATTAGCCCTCTGTCTGATGGGGGTTGGTGAAGATCTTTTCCCATTCTGTAGGCTGCTATTTTGTCTTGTTGACTGTGTCCTTTGCTTTACAGAAGCTTTTCAGTTTCAGAAGGTCCCATTTATTAATTGTTTCTCTCAGAGTCTGTGTTACTGGGATTATATTTAGGAAGTGGTCTCCTGTGCCAATGCACTCAATTGTACTTCTCACTTTCTCTTCTATGAGGTTCAGTGTGGCGGCGTTATGCTGAGGTCTTTGATCCATTTGGACTTGAGTTTTGTGCATGGTGATAGATATGTGTCTATTTTCATTCTTCTACATGTTGATATCCAGTTATGCCAGCACCATTTGTTAAATATGCTTTTCTTTTTTCCATTTGATATTTTTTGTTTCTTTGTCAAAAATCAGGTGTTTGAAAGTGTGTGGATTAATATCCAGGTCTTCGATTGAGTTCCATTGGTCCTCCTATCTATTCTTATGTCAACACCAGGCTGTTTTCAGTACTGTAGCTCTGTAGTAGAGTTTGAAGTCAGGGATTGTGGTGCCTCCAGAAATTCTTTTATGTACAGGATTGTTTTTGGCTCTCCTGGGTTTTTCGCTTTTCCATATGAAGTTGAGTACCATTCTTTCGAGGTCTGTGAATAATTTTGCTGGGATTTTTTATAGGCATTGCATTGAATCTGTAGGTTACTTTTGGTAAGATTGCCATTTTTACTATGTTAATTCTACCTTCACAGAAGCAAGGGAGATCTTTCCACTTTCTGGTGATGGAAAGATTATTAACTTATTATACTAGTATAATTATTAAGATTATTAACTTATTATACTAGTATTCTCCCAGATGGGTTGGTCGAGGTTCTGATCCTATGGATTCTACTTGGCCAAACTATTGGAACATTTCATACTCTGTTTCCTCTTGCAACTTTAGAGTGTTCACTAATTAATTATGCCTAGGCTAGGGAGATGGCTTTAGTGGGTAAGAACCATCAGTCTGTACACAAGAACACCTGAGTTTGAATCCCAAGGACCCACATTAAAATCTGGGCCCCCATCTGTAACCCCAG